TGCCGGGCCTCAGTTTTTACAAACTTCCCGGAAAATCCACCTCACGCATGCGCACTTTGGTATAAATATTTCTCTTGGTTTGCGCCAGAAATTGTTTATCTTGTTTATTTATTTATCAAGGCGTATGTTTTATGTCCTTACAGGTAATTGTTGTTATTCATTATGTTTCATTATCATGCATATTTCCATTGATCGTTTATGTATTTCGGATCTGTATTTATGCACTTTGGTATAAATATTTCTCTTGGTTTGCGCCAGAAATTGTTTATCTTGTTTATTTATTTATCAAGGCGTATGTTTTATGTCCTTACAGGCATAAACGACCATTCATACATTTGAAAAAGGACCATACGACATACAGTATTTGGGTATTGTTCTGATAAGTGCATGGACATATACTGTGAAATCATTTGTATTCGTGGGCATGAAATTTCGTGGTTTTATCAAAACAGGCATTTTCGTGGGTTCTTAAATTCGTGGATTTTCATTTTCTTGTAAAAAAAAGATAAGTAATGGAAAGTAATCTTTCACTTAATCACTGCGCTGTTTTACTTACCCCGTGTATATAACACAGCTCTTGTCAATAAATTTAATCCTGGCCTCTGGCAGTAACACAATTACTGCCGATAATTGACTGCAATTAACACCTTTGTGTGACATGATATGCAGCTCCATTATATGCCCCTATAATTCGCCAATGTAAACATCGCATAAATTATACGACATCTGCCAATTTTTAACCAGCCAGTAAAAAAGTTAACACCCCGAATTAGTCCAAAACTACACACTACATCACATCGACTGTGTAAATTTATATGCATATAAATTAATACCAGTAAATGGCTCAATACAGTTACATACATGTATGTGTGCATCTAGTGTAAAGACGACGGCTTCTTTGATATTTTCGGAATAGCAGTCGCACAAAAACATATTGAAAAAAATATATTTAAATGGATCATATAAACACTAGTTGTTAAAAGTTTTATCGGGGATAATTAATGCACTTGGTTCCCATATTTACTCGATTATGTCACGTATTCTGGCTAACACAATCAAGTAGCCTACAACGATCAAGTAGTCCCCTGATGTTTACATGCGACGAACATTTGTGACAGCAAACTGAAGACATACAATCGATTTTTCTTTCAAGTTTCTTAAATATTGCAAAATTAAACTATTTATGGATTTAATTTGTCACTGACCTGATTAGAATATACATTTATACCACAAATATCGGCCGGAAAAGCGCCAACGCATGTTGAGATATATGGAACAGAGACATGGTAAGAAGCGTTTGTTGGGATAAAATTTCGTCGGGTCTTAAATTCGTGGATTGACCTATCCACGAAAACCACGAAAATTCGTGCCCCACGAATAATGATGATTTCACAGTAGATAGAAAGGCATCCTTTTTTATCTTTGATGAATGTTAACACAGTCTGTATGAAAGGTAGATTATATTTTTATTCAAGGCTACAAAGTTTTAACATCAGAAATAGTATATCATTTGATTGAGTGACGAAAGGGGTCATGTAAAGGAACAGACTGTTTGAAATGGAAAAAAATCCCAACTTATGTACTTTGTCAATATGAAACTTTAAAATACTAATGTAATGGTGTAGTTCATAATTTTAACAAATTTTGCATGCAATTTTAATACTGTCTTTTTTAAATATAAATGATATGTGGTATGTTAAATATATGTTTACAATAAATAAAAAAATATAAATTAACCCTATGCATGGTACTGTCCTGCTTTTCAACAAAATATTTGCAATATTGTTCATATATCCGAATTGTGTAGAGACTGTTCACAGTGACTCTCTGTCTATAATGACTTTTTTTTCTCCAATCGAAGGTCACTGTAAACAATTTTTACTGTATTTGGCTTAAATCTGTTGAAAACTTAATACCTAACAGAGTAAATGTTTCATTGTTCTGATCAAGATTGTAAGTTTATTTTCGACATGTTGCAGTCAATTCAAACAATAGTAAACGTTTTTTTTCTTACGTATGTAAACATAAACTGTGTATATCAACAACTAAACAAGAGATCTTGTAACAAATACTAGTATACTACAAGAGACTCTGTGACAAAGAATGTAAAACATTTTCGCTCAAGCCAGCAATACCTTGACCTTTTTATTGATAATGAAACATCTTTTAACCAATTACAACAGTCTCTGTATTGATATATATTATGATTGCGATTTTAACTGGGTAGATCATGGTTTTAAGTTAAAACAAACATGTATGTTTGAGTTTTATGTTCATGTATCAAAACCAAAGATGACATGGAGCAAGACAGTGGAAAATGAATTAAAAGAGATGAAAATGACATGGGGTGAGGCGGAGAAAAAGGCAAAGAATCGGACTGAATTGGGAGACCTTGTGTTGACTTAATGCTCCGCTCGGAGCGAAGAGGATAGATGATAGATAGATTCAAAATAGCTTATGAAGTACCGACTGTTATGTGCAAACGATACAAATTGTAAACTTTTTTACTTGTTAAAAGTGACGTAAGGGACTCAGTCTGTTTATATTTATTTAAGCATTAAAAATGGTTGAAAAGAACATTTCGTAGTAACTCCCCAGCAAAATAATATTATAACATTACCATAATTGTGTTTGGTTATTCATAATGATCTGCTTTTATATGAGTGACAGTTCTGATAATACTGACTGTTATTTGCGATCGATCTTAAAATCGTTCGCCAATAAGTGACGAAGTTATGGAAACAATACCAGACACAATGATTACACCCAGGTTTATGTTAAACCCAAACCTAGGATCATATTACCTCAAAATCAATCTCAACTATAAAAATGTCCTGACGTTTGTTAAAACTGTTATCACAATGTATTGTAAAGCAAAAGTTTTAAACAGACCAACAGGTACTTCATAGGTCATACAGCGACTTCCAAACTTCAATATGGGACAAACTCGGATGACCTTTCATAATTTCTTTTTTCAGACAAGAGAAGCCTACGTTGAAGAACCGTTGGCTTTTCATTATTTAGTTGAAAATCTTTCTCATAAAGAAAGAAGTGTTGGGTTCGAACCCAAACAGTGCCATTAAAATGTGTTATATTGTCGTAAACTTATTTTTAAACAATTGATTTAATGAGAAAAATTCAATGTATAAAAAATATTTTCCTGTTTTTTTTCCTTAACTCGTTGGTATTATAAAAAAATCTAATTTGATGTTCCTATGAATAAAAAAAATGAAATTGAAAAATGACATGAACGATTTTCTGACGAAATAAAAACAACAACAATAATTATAAAAGAAACAACGAAAAACAAACAAGAACAAAAATAAAATAAAAACAACAACAAAAAAACCCACCACCACAAACAACAACTACACTAAACCTAAAACAAAACAACGAAAAACACTATGCTTACCATTTTATAGACGTCCTCTTTGGTAAACGTCTGATCGCCCTCTAACAAGGAAGGTTTGTTTTTTTTTCCACGAAAGAAGTTCGGACAAGGAAGTTATATATGTAATCAAATGTGTAAACAAGAAATATCTTAAAATAAGATATTCGTTGTAAACCCGGTTTTAACATTTTGCTTCATATGTAAATCAGTTTTGCATTAGTTCTAAGCCGGGATAGATTATTTATGATATAGGAACTGTAAGAAATTAGGCTTTTAATTATTATAGTAAATATTGAATTTGCTAGTTAGTTCGAATTTTGACTTGATATTTCAAAAATTTTAATTTTTAAATTACAGTGTGAATACATTATTTTTTGTTGTTGTTGTTGTTGAAAAATTCTATCCGTGTGTTCACTTTTTCCATCTTTCTAATAATATGCACGTATTATGCTCTGTAGAATTGCTTTTGGTTGCATAGCAAAATTATTTTTCGACATGTCGCTGGTAGCATGCGATTTTATGCTCTAATGTGTTTAATTATAATTTATTTTAAATCTAATCACACTCAGAAAATCCCTTTAAATTTCAGTTCGAAGAGGGTAGCCACAATGATAAAACAAAACTTGTGAAATTTTGCCACGTTTTTATTTTGGGAGGAATTAATCTTACTTTTAAAAGTAATTAAAAAAAAACTACATAATAGATAATAAAAATTAATTGTGTGAAAGATATCAATGACAAAAATAATAATGTTTTTGGATTGGATTTTCTGTTCATGCATCCAACATTAATTAATGTCGCCCTTCGAGTTCAAGAATAAAATATAACTTGCATTCAGTATAATATCTATTTTATATACATAACATAATCTAAGTGAGAACAATTGTTTTCATCTTTGTCTTTATTTATTTACAGAAAAATGAAAGAAACACATATCTTTATTTAAATTTCAAAAAGAGTTTGCATTACGCGTAAAAATGGAAGAACCAATAAAATGTTCGATTTTAGGTATATTTGACTTAAAAATCGAATATAATATAATGTATTTTATCAATTTGATCGATCATTTCAATTTTAAATGAATATTTTGAAACCGGCCCTTAGAAAAAGGAAGTTAAATCAAATTAATTATTACACTTCAGAAAAGAGCGAAAGAGATAGTTCGTTCTATTCTTATTGTTGATTTCAAGGAATTCAGTTGGCAGTATATTTGTCCTACTGATATCTGTTTCAAATTAATTTTTTGGATCCAAGCCAAAAATATCCAATTGATCATTCATACATTATTTTAAAACAATTTATTTTATAGAAACAAATATTGTGATATCGCCACAAAAATGTAATGAATGATATTTGTTTTTATTGTAAGATTCAGTAGTTAATTAAACAAAGAAGTGATTGACAATACATGTATAATTACAATTTAATAAAGCTAATAAAGTGGAAATACGTGTAAAATATTTCTATGCTGACAGGGAAGTGAATTATATCCTTTCCTGGTAGTCGGACATTTTTGTGTAAAGGTACGTTTAACTTCAATTATAAAGGTGTTTGCGAGTTATAAGCGATAAGCCTCATTTTAAAACAAAGGAATATTTTTTGATATAATTATCCTAGATGATTCCAACAGAGTACTTTAAACATTTTTTTTCAAAGGGAATTTAATAAATGTTTTAAATCAAATCTAGAACAAAATGTTAGTCCATGTCCGTCAAAACCATTGGAGTTTCAATGAATACAATTTAGAAAGTCCTTTGTGAAAAATATGCGAAAAAAAATAGATAAACATATTTCTTTAACCTACATTTTTTATTCTGTAACATAGTGTAAAGAAAAACGACTCTAAGACATCTATAATTTTAAATCATTAAAAACTGTGTCATGTAATCGTCTAATCGTGTTTTTCGATGATTCAATTAATGTTATTGCCATAACAAAATTAATTCTAAAATTGTTTTAAAAATCCTTCAAGAGAACAAAGTTTGTAAGTGAGAATTGCAGAACAGGTTTAATTGAGTCAGTTTGTGAGAGACAATTGAAAGTATAACATCTATAACGACCCATATCCCGCCCCATCACCGTCTAAACTGATTATTTTCTACAATGCGTTACCCGCTGCAACAAATAAATGATGAAGAATATCACACTATATACTGTATTTTGTTTGATTATGTGTTGTTAGGGTAAATGTGGTCTATATTTGAATGTCGTTGATAACGATATGGATTATTTCACTCTGACAAATATTATGAACGTTTATAATTGTAAATTAAGATATGGATAGAGTTGAATGACTATACATACATATTGATAAGTTTGATTGCTTTAAAGTTTGAAACAATATAGTGTTTAACAGAATTTCTCACAAGGGGCCTACATGTTTAACATATAATTCATATCTTTATTTTCATGTTATTCATGCTTTGCAAAAAGCGAATCTATTTTTTAAAAAAGCACACAACCGAACAATAAATATAAATGAAGATAACACTGATTTTGAAATTTTGAAAAACTGAATAATTCCAAAATGTTCGGATAATAGAAAAATGTACATAACGCATGCATGAAACCATTAAATTGCAACTACCACGTTAAAATACTATTACCGAAAATGTTGATTTCAACAATAGATTACAGTTAAATTCATGTCTTGAATCTTTTGTAAATTTTGTGACAGGCGTAGCAGATCGATTATTTTGTAATATAATACACCACGTGTAAATGGTTAACTATGTAAAATGGCTGAGTGGTTTGATTAAGATTGCAAACGTTCAAAAGAGGTATATTAAAGTTCTGTTTATAAATATTATATTATGTAAAAAAGATATAAATAGAATAGAACTGTGTAATCATAAAGTAATTATAAAGTAGTTGTTAAATAGAAGACAAGTAGCTATGAGTTAAAAACAATTAAGAGACATTGAACGCATGTGTATCTATAAACCTAAGGACTATTGGAATTTGTTTGCTAAAAAGACGATACGTAAAAATTGTTTTTCCAAATAAGATTTTAATGAGCACTTTTCTACCCCAAGTAATAAATTACCACCGAAAAGTGATTTTGTATGTGAAATTTTTGAATTTATTAGTAATGATGTACTGAACGAGGAACTAGATGAACCTATAACAGCTCATGAAATAAATTATGTTTTTCGCTTTTTAAAGAAAAATAAGGCTTTTGCTGGTAATAGTTATTATTAAACGAGTATTTTATCAATAAGTCGGATATTTTTCATCACATTAAGTTGATATTTTTAATGGTATTCTAAAATAGCATTTTCCTAGATTCATGGATGGAAAGTATTATTGTACCTCTGTTTAAGAAAAATGACCATAAATTTGCTAGTAATTATAGAGAAATTAGTCTCGTTAGTTGTTTTTCGAAGATATTTACATGTGATTTAAATAGAAGATTGACAAAAAAGATCTGAAGAAAATGACAATATTAGTGATGCATAATTTGGTTTCAGGAAGGGTAGCTCCACATTTGATGCTATATTTATTTTAAATGCTGTTGTAAAGAATATTAACTGAAACTGGACGTCTTCCATGTGCCTTCATAGATTTTCAAAAGGCGTTTGATAGTGTTTATCGTAATGGTTTATGGTATAAAGTATATTATATTGGTGTACGTGGAAAAACTTTAAGAATAATCTAGATTTGAACTCTAAAGTAAAAACACGAATAAGGGGCTGTAAGTCATATTTAGATTTCTTGGAATGTTCAGTTGGTCTTAAATGAGGTAATGTCCCCAATATTATTTTCTATGTTTTTAGAAGATTTAGAAATGTATTTATTAAATGATATTAATTCTAGTTTAACATTAGATTATATTACATTAATTATCGTGTTATTTGCTGATTGTATTGTTATTTTAAGCAAATAACCCGAACACTTACAAAATAGTTTAGTAGGGAAAGCCCTAAAGGAATTACATGTATAATTGTTCGATTTAAAACAGACACCAGTTAACGTTAGTACTTTTTTGCAATTATTTAATGCTTTTGTTGTATTTATTATAAATTATGCCTGTGAAATATGGGAACATTGTATTTAGTAATTGTAAATAAATTGAACGAGTACATCTAAAATTTGGTAAGTTCATGTTATGTGTTAAGCAGTCAACTAGCAGCAATGTTATTTATGGTGAGCTGAAAGTGTACCCTTTTTATGTAAACATAATGTATGTATGGATTATCAAACTCTGGTCAAAGATTATGTTATAGTAAATTATTTATATACATCAATGTTAAATCATTTTAATAGAATAAGATTATCTATTATAACAGGTATTGTGAGTACATGATGAGTTATCTTCTTGTTGCTGCCATTGATTTTGGAACAACTTTCTCTGGGTGGGCGTTCTCATTCAAACATATAGGGATCATTTCTCCTCCGTCTGTCAAACGTGACTTCGAACGTGACCCAACAAAAATAACTGCAAAGAACTGGCATGGGGATCAACTTATTTCCCAAAAAGGTTTTTATTACCAATTTCTAATTACATTGAGTATCATTTTGCAAAACTGTTTGATGACATATAACAAGGTAGAAATACAATAACATTTTTACTAGAAATTTGTATTTTCATATTTCATATTTACATGTTTTTAGCCCCTACTTGTGTATTGATAAAACCAGACGGACGAACATTTGACTCATTCGGTTATACTGCAGAAAGTAAATATGCCGAGCTGGTTGCAGAGGAGAAGCACGAACAATGGTATTTTTTCAGAAGATTCAAGATGATGCTCTTTGATAAAATTGTAAGTTTTGTATTCACAAAAGTACTACCTGTACTGTAAGTAAAATTATCATGTTGCATAAATGTTTTAGATGCACATTGTTCATTTGAATGTAAAGTTGCTACAAACAATTGGTTTGTTTTTTACCATTGGTTTAATCCCAATTTCAGGATTGCAGAAAAATATTTTGGGTTTCAAAATTGTTTAAGAAATGGTGTGTTATTTAAACGATTTTATCAATAAGAAATAGTTCCAAAGGACATTCAGGTCTAATGCAAATTTCCTCCAATAAGAAGGTAAAATACGCTCCTTGCCTTAGTCAAATGTAAAGCAGAACAGTACAAAATTAAAGAAAATCCGATCTTATCAATTGCCACACATGTGTTAACTTTTCCTTTAACGCAATTTGAAAACAAAAACATTGCCTTCTATGTTATATCTAATTTTATTAATTATATTTTTATATACACAATGGTAAATAAGTAAATAATTGTATGCATTGAGCAATAAAGAGAAATACTTAGACGTTGTTTTTTGAACAGATAATCAATCACATATTTTTATTTTAGCTTTAAAGTATATCGAATATCATTATATTCTAGCACTACTTTTTTTAAAAGTTTTTGTTCGAAAATGAGGTTGTGTTTTGGAATGCAGACAAAAAAATTTCAATACAAATTCGGTAACTTCCTAAAGCATCAAGCCTTTTGCATTTTGTAATAATCATAATTTCTTTCCATTGTCAAAATGTTGAATTCATTGAAGTAATTGAAGATTCCTTTCAATCACAAGTATTCAGTTGCGAGCTTTTAAGATCGCAAAAAGGTTTGTCATATGCTGCTAGACACAATTTCCTAACAATCAAAGGTATAATTATTTTTGGTCTTTTGATCGGTCTATAATGTTAATGTATGTTGCTCAATAAATCATACAAAAAAACCTTGTTTCGAGGTTCCCTTGAGTAGTTCGCAAAACTGCAGAGAAAACTATTTCAACCTTTATATGTGAAGAAACTAACTATAGACTCATGCGCGATTCATCTTAAAAATTTGTCCAAATTATGCCAAGTAAAATTTGTAATTAATCGATCTTTAATGTAAGGTAACACATGTATTGTGAATTTGTGACTACTAAGTTTACAAAACATTTCATTCAAATTAACATCTAATTTAAATTTGCTGTCTTTACTATTTCGATTTTTTATAATCAATACTGGGTCTCAAAGTTCCAAATCTATTGTTTCAATTTACAAGAAAATTAGCCGCAAAGCTAATATATTGAAGATGCTTGTGGGAAACAGCTGTCGGCTAAAAAAGTGTTTTCGATGGTGATAAAGTTTTTAAAAGACGACCTGTTGGAAGAATGCAGCAACCAGCTTGGTGATTCAATCAATGATAAAGATGTAAAGTGGGTGTTGACAGTCCCTGCCATTTGGAATGATGTCGCTAAACAGTTTATGAGAGAAGCTGCCATAAAGGTATTATACTCAGTTTGGTGTATTAATTTTGTAATGATATTTATGCATGGGATCTGAAGTGTGTTTTGTAATATATATGATACTTTTATCACTTATTTAGGTATTTCCTACGATGTGATGTAAATAATATGTTTGTATTGACTAAAATTTTACCCAGACAAATATACTTAAATATCTTTGATTCGTTTATTTTTTGCTCTCTAATTTAGGCAGGTATCATGAAAGAACACTTGCTCATTGCATTAGAGCCAGAGGCTGCCTCTATATTCTGTAGACATCTTCCAGTAGATAAGGCAGAAGGGGAAGAAGAAGTATCACTTGCATCTATGAAAGCAGGGACAAAATATATGGTTGTTGATGCTGGCGGTAAATGTTTAGAACGGCATTAGTTTGTTTGGGGTTTACGTCGCATCAGCACTGTTAAGGACATATGGCGATGTTCCAGCTTAATTGGTAGAGAAAGGCCTCAGGTGCCACTCCATGTGTTATTTCAGGTCCGACGTTCCATAAACAAGCTGGATAGCTTCCTCAATAAAAGAACCTAAAGTCCTAGGTGGGATTCAAGCCTGCGGTAGTAAGAGACCAACATTTTTCAATGAATATATTTTTATCCCCTCCTTCGAAAAACTGGGAGCATATTGTTTTGCAGCCTTGTGTCGCCCGTCTGCTCGTCGATCACTAACTTAAGAACGCATTGGTCCATTACCCTTAAACTTCAAAGATGCATTGATCTTAGGAAGTAGATGACCCCTGATGTCTTTCGACCAATTAGTCATCGGCCATGAAACTTTATAGGTGCATCAGTGTTGGCCAGAACATGGCTCCTCTTGATTTTTGGTCAAAGGCTCAATGATCAAGGTCACGTCTGTTCGTCGATCACTAACTTAAGAACGCATTGGTCCATTTCCCTTAAACTTCAAATATGCATTGATCTTAGGAAGTAGATGACCCCTGATGTTTTTCGACCAATTAGTCATCGGTCATGAAACTTTATAGGTGCATCAGTGTTGGCCAGAACATGGCTCCTCTTGATTTTTGGTCAAAGGCTCAATGATCAAGGTCACGTTAACCGTGTATGACAAAACGATTTCCGACCAATAAATAACTCGACAACCCATGGACAATCAACCCTCAAACTTCACAGGCGCATTGATCTTTGGCATTAAAATACCCAATTGATTTATACGGTTGCAGAATCAAAGTTCTATGTCACATTGACTTTGTATGTCAAATCTATTTCCGACCAACAACCGATGAGCCCTCGGCCCTCAAACTTCATAGGTGTATTGGTCTTGGCCGGAGGTGATTCCTATTGCTTTTGGGTCGCAGGGTCAGAGGTTACCTTGAACTATAATGTTTGAACGGTTTTTTACCAAAACCTCGACAAGAAAGGCACTCAAACTTTGTAGGAGCATTCGTCTTGGGCAGTAGATGATTTATTTACTTTGGGTTGCGGGCTCAAAGGTCAAAGTGACATTGACCTTGCATGCCAAAACAGTTTCCAACCAATAACTCGACGACCAATCTACCTCGGCTCTCAAACTCATTCGTGCACCTGTGTTGGCTGTAGATTACCCTAATGATTTTGGGTAGGGGTCAACAATCAAGTTGTTGTTACCTTGCCAAAACAGTGTCCATGTTGATAGTTCTGTATATATTACTTTTTATCTCTATACTCACTTCATGCTTATTAATTAAACCACCATTGTTTACTACTCGTGTTTCTTCACCATTTTACAATTTCCCACTGTGTTGCTGTATTATTCTTGTTTTTCTTATGCACAAACAAAGACAATTACATCAACAGTTTCTCTGTGACTTACATAATGGTTTCTTTCAGTGTTGTTTTATTTTTCTGGTAATTGTGTTGTGATTAATGCTTCCGAGGGATCACTTTGTTTCCAGATCTTTATTTTTTCTTATTATAACTTCCCGTGAAAAGACCTATGTGTCTTCTTTCAATATACATATATAGTGAATAATTATGTAATTTTGACCATAACACAAAATCATTTTGTTTACATTCAATAATTATTGCACTTTGCATCTTTCTTAAATTCATTGTCAATAAAGTATTCTTTATTATATATTTTTCAACATATCTATGAAGAATCATCTAAATTTACATGTATTAATTTTACATATTAAGAAAACTTCTATATAAGCGTTTATGTGTTTGTGTCTGATCCTTTTCCATCATTATATTAGGTAAGCAATCATTGTATGTAATACTAAAATATAATTGTATATGTTTTTATGCCAATATTTGAAATATCTAATAATGTTGATCACTTTTGGATAGTGAAAAATGTTAATGCTATATATACCAATTACAAAAACACAAAATCTAATATATGAACTTTTCTCGCTGCTATTTTCCTTTAAAAGTATGTTTACATACATTTTAAATATAAATACAGTCCTTGAACAAATTCTTTATGTTAAAGCTTCATGTGAGTATAACAGACGAAAGACTTCTTTGTGTCAATGTTTTTTCAACGAATTAAACTTTTAACGACATATGCATTGGTCATCATATTTTTGAGACCCGTATTTAAAGCATTGCCTGAAAGATGTCGTTTAAATAATTATAATAAAAAATAAGTTAACGTATTAGTTTATTGTTGTTTGTTAATTGTCGGATGTGTCTTTATGTTTGGACGCATTTAAATGTACTTGGTTACACCAGTTATATTCAATAGTGTTTTGAAAGAAACATCAACTCATTCGCAAATAGTTGTTTCTATATGTATGTTTTTCTTGTGATTTTAGATAATCTATTTTCATGCTTCATGATTATAAGAACAAAAATCAAATAATATTAAATGACAGATTGTATATATTTTAGGTGGTACTGTAGATATCACGTTCCATCAGGTAATTGTTGATGACAAGTTGAGGGAGATACATAAAGCTAGCGGTGGTGCTTGGGGAGGAACAAGGATTGATGATGAATACGAGAAATTCCTTGATTCCCTATTTGGTGGGTCATTTAAATTTTCTAGCTGATTGTTAAGACTTGAAAATGAATTTGACAATAGGCAAATAGATAGATGTCACACAAAGTAATATAATATAAATGATTTTACCCATGAAACAAAAGCTCACAGTATTTTTGTTTTAATATTAAATTTAATTCTCTTGATTGCATCATGGTAAGGATTTCATTTGGTAATAAACATAACATTTTCTTCATACTGCATCTTGGATTCCATATAAATAATGACTTATATTCATGTAAATTGCATATGTAAAATGTACAATACAGACATTAAACCTATTGAATGTTTAAATGAATGATGATGATGATTAAAATAATAATAATTAATTAATTACGATCAGGACAAGATATAATGAAGAAGTTCCAAAAACAGAATATGGATGATTACTTTGATATGATGCGAGCATTTGAGATAAAAAAGAGAGATCTCAAACTAAAGGGAGCGAATAAAGTCACAATTCGAATTCCACCTTCATTGATTGATATAGTACAGGAGAACCGGGGAAAACAATTAAAGGATATCATAACAGAATCCAAATATAACGGAAACATAACGTACGTGAGTGGGAAAATCAGAGTATACCCGGAACTGCTTATAGCTCTTTTCAAGGATACGGTTGCAAAAATCATTAAACATATGAATTCACTATTACAGGAAGAGAAATGTCATGATTGCTCAACAATAGTTCTTGCAGGTGGATTTGCAGAGTCCTATATACTGCAAGAAGCTATTCGAGATGCATTCAAGGGTATGCGATTGATCATACCAAATGGGACAGGGTTAGTTGTCTTGAAAGGCGCCGTTATATTTGGTCATCGACCAGCAACCATAGTAGAGAGAGTATGTCGATACTCATACGGTCTTAAAGGGAGCCATCGGACGTCTGAGGAGTGTAAACATCCACCAACAAAAACAACTGAAGGTAAAGATGGAATAAAGCGTTGTAAAAATTTGTTTAAGATATATGCAAGATGTGGCGAGACTGTGGAATTGACAGAAGAGCGTTCAACTTATTTAGGATGTCCAAGATATGATGATCAAACAAACATTGGGTACACTATATACGCATCTGAAAATGAGAATCCCTTGTTAACGACGGAAGACAAATGTTTCGAATTAGGACGATTGAAAATTCCAATTTCGGATACATCCTTTGGAAGAAACAGATTATTTGAGAAAAGTTTTATATTTGGTGACACTGAGATTATCGTAAAAGTAGTTGATAAAGTATCAAAGGAAGTATATTTGTTGTCAGTTAACTGTTTAGAATAGTTCTAGATACTCAAGCGAGCACGAATAAATTTTATTTTCTTGATAAAGTGAACATTAAGTACATGAAAGTGTATAGAATATGAATAATAGTGAATAAAATTATGCAACCATTTCAGAAATGTATACAATGGCTTTTTTGTGGTATAAAGCGTTCAGCAAGCACTACATATAACTAAAAGGTTTCTCTTTTATTGTGGCATATTTCTACAATCAGTTAGATATTTAATTTTATTTCATGCTTTCGAGTGTTTTATTGTAATATATCAGATGATTATATTCTGATAAACCACTAGTGAAATATATAAAATATATTTTTCACTGTAGCCGGACTATATCTGAATGCGGATGAAAAGAAAATAACTAAATGGAACAACAGGCGTCATGCGTAAATTTTGCTTCTTTAGGAAAAGACAGTCGATGTCACCATCATCATGTTGAAAATGTAACAAAATTAGAGAAATTTAACAGAACCATTTTTCAAAATTGATGATGTGACGTCATGATGTGATGACGTCACAAGGGAGAATGCGCGACGTTACGCGGCAAAATCAGTAAAAATTACTTAAATTCACTTAAAACGCATGAAATAAAAAGAAAATTTATTTGTTTTACATATAAGATTGAAATATATTTCATTCGTGAACACCAGCTATAAAATTTTCACTCGTGGCTACGCCACTCGTGAAAATATTGCATCTGGTGTTCACTCAGTGAAATTATATTTCAATCAAGATTACATGCAAAACAAACAGCTATCCTCTACATAAGGCTATAAGGCTATTGTTAGTAAGAAAAATAACAGATATTTTATCTGATTAATTAGATATATTGTCAATAAAATATTGAAATGACAAATAAGTTAACAGACTGCAATAAGTATGGAATGTCTTGCTTTCTGTTTCCAACACTGATTTCTTTAGGAAAATATAAACAGATAAGTTTTTTTTTATGAAATTAAAGGCACATTATCCTTTGGAAACAAATGAATTTTTCTTTCATAAGAAGAGGCAAACAAAGTTTTGTAATGTTTTATGAGCATATCAGATTCTTATCACACGAAGAAATTAACGTAGAATGTGACATTATTTGTCATAAAAGTAGCAAAATGTAAGCAAAGTATTATTTGACTTCCTTACAAATTACTAAATCACTGTAATTGTACTAATTACCATAAGGCAACTGAAGCAAATGATAGCCCAGCTTTTTTGACGAATGAGTAACTCTGGAAAATAAAATAGGACACTAAAACAAAAAAATGTTTTGAGACATAAAACTAAAAGCATTTCTGTGGCATAATGAGCCTTAAAGATATTGGCGCTTAATCTATCCAGTATTACAATTTCTAGATAAATGAAAAAAGACCAACCGACGTGACTGTTTGTAAAAAAGATTGCACTAGTACTGCAATCTAAATGTCGAGTTAAATTGTGCATGGAAGATAGTGGCGTTTGATTTGTAAGATGTGATTATAGGTTGGTGCTAACAAAATCGCATTAAGTCATTTGTATTCATTGAAAGAAATACAATTACCTTATCACTATTTCGACAAGATATTGGAACATATTCTCACATGTGAAAATAATAACATCCATATAGTCTAGACCTTCTAATGAAAAAACAAATTTGCACCCTAAAAATTTATAAATGTATACTAAATATTGCAAAAGCACTGAATTTGAAAAATAACGACTCAACTCTTGACAAAAGCTGATTGTTATATATGTGGAAAATACACTCAATTGGCATTGTCAGGTAAAATATGTGTAATTGAACGCTAAAGTTCATTCATTTACGCCTAAACAAGGAATTTCGCAGGCTATTTTATACTGCACACCTTCCTATTTTTGTTTGTGTTGATATATATGGGAGAAAGATACAGTGGTGCACACGAGAGGAGATGGTAGTTCTGTTCACTCGACATTTATAACTTGCTCCTTAAAACGTTATGTTATGCTTAAAACCATTATGGTCATTTTGAAAATGACGGTTGAAGGCGTTGAAGTTGTTTTGACAAACTGTTTGAAAGAACATGCATTCTACGTTTGCTTTTTTGCATGGTTGCAACATAAAAGCTCTAGCAAGATGTGATTTTTTCCTGATGAATCACAAAGTACGGATGATTCAATAAGGGATAGTGGTGACCTAATGGCGCTTTGTTCACACCATATTTATAGCTTGCTCCTTAAATGTTATGTTTTGCATAAAACAATTATGGTCATTTTCGAAATGACGAATGAACGCGTTGAAGTTGTTTCGAACAAACTGTTTGACATATTTTAACATGCATTCCACGTTTGCTTTTTGCATGGTTGCAGCATATATGCCATTAAAGCTCTAGCAAGATGTGATTTTTTTCCTGATGAATCACAAAGTACGGATGATAAGGGTAGTGGTGGCCTCTTGGCTAAGATGTTTGGGTTCGAGCCCAACTCGGGTCATGACTATGTTTCCTCATTCGACACCAATATACTGGTTAATTCCAGAGAGCGGACTCTTAGTTGAAAGAACGTGTTTCGCAATCGAGCAGAAATAAATATGTTTAAACTAATAGCTTGTAGATTAATTGAGGGCCCTGGAATCATTTCGTTCAAGCAGCAAGAAATATGCAAAACATATTTTAGTGCAAGACGAAAATATATAATAATAATAATAATAATAATAATATCTTTATTTAAAAAAGGTTACACATTAAGAACATACAATAGGAATCATATATATCTTATTTCCAATGTGGCCTTCTGAAATAGAAAACAACAACAACAACAGGACATGCATAGGTAGAAAAATGAATGTATAATATGTAATTTTTAGCATAAGACAACTCATATACTTTCGACAGACACTCAACAATTTGTTTAAACATATACGTATATTGCATCATTCGTTCGTTCGTTCATTCGTTTGTTCATTTATTCAATCATTCATTCATTCGTTCATTCATTCATTCATTCATTCATTCATTCATTCATTCATTCATTCATTCATTCATTCATTTACTCATTCATATGAACATCAAGACATGATTTGTATTTTTCTTTAAAACATTTAAGATTATTAACATTACGAATATTTAAAGGTATATTGTTCCAAATGTTCATGCCATAATAAGAAAATGTGTCTTTAATATAATTTGTTTTAGGTCTTGTCCATAATACAATATCTTTTCGTGACCTAGATCTTAAGTTATATATTTTGTTGTCGGATAAAGTCATCAGTTCTGTCATATAAGTCGGCATTATGCATTGTAAAACAATAATTTCATATCAAAGTGCAAAAAACCTGATATTTTTTCAATAAGGCAATTTTTCCGTTCAGTTTTTTACAAACATTGTCAATTTGCAAGTGCCATTTTAAGTTGTTATCTATGCAAATACCCAGGACTTTTTGATCAGTTAAATTTTCAAGAACTATTTCATTTATCTTAAGATACAATTTTCCCATAATATTTACTTTTTGTCTTGTTCCTATTACCATACATTTTGATTTATCTGGATTTAAGGCCATATCATTTATTTTGCACCATTTCTCAATGTTATTTAAATGATCTTGAAGTTTTACTTCTACTTTTGATAAATTTTCTCCGGACTCATAAAAAGTAGAATTGTCTGCGTGTAAATCAATTTTTATATCATTACCAATGAAAGCTATGTCATTTATGTACATTAGAAATAATAAAGGTCCTAATATTGAGCCTTGTGGAACACCGGAAATTATTTTCATTGTCTGAGATTGAAGATTGCCTATCTTAACCACTTGTATTCTGTTAGAAAGATATGACTTAAAAAACTTAAAGGCATTTTCAGAAAAATGATAAAGCTTAAGTTTGTGCAGAAGTATTTCATGATCAAACAAATCAAAGGCTTTTTTTAAATCTAAGAATACATGCAGTCCCGATAATTTATCCACTGTCGACATCTTTTAACCAAGTATCTATTAAACTAATGAGTGCAGTATTACAAGAATGATTTTTGAGAAATCCTGATTGTTTATTATGAATTATGTTGGTTTTCTCAAAGAATGAGTGTATTTGTTTGGCAATATGGCGCTCAAATATTTTGGGTATAGTTGACAAAATTGATATCGGTCGATAGTTATTTGCTTCATTCTTATCCCCCGATTTAAAATAGGGATTTAAAATCTGGGAAAATATTAGCTTTAATACTATTATTGATAATTGATGCAATTATATTCTTGTTGACAGGGATATTGCAATACGATACCCACGAAAAATGTTTTGAGCTTTTTTGGTGAACTATTTGTTAACTATATACTTTACAAAAATCAGTGAAATATTTGTCTATCATAATATATACTTTTAAAAAATTCGACAAAATATTTGTTTGTAATACACTTGTGATGATGATAATAATGATGATAATGTTGTTGTTGATTGATGATGGTGATGAAGATGGAGGTTTTGATATTTACGATTCCGTCATTACGTTAATTTTTCTTCTTTAAACGGACTTATTCAAGTAAAAAAAATACCCACACACACAGGTGACATATACGTTGGTATTTTCATTTTTTATTCCCATTTTTGATAAATGACAAATACGTTTTGGTGAGCATCCACCGAATATGGCACATTTTATGTTCTATTTTCGGCTGAAGAGTGTGCCATTTTCAGTCAGTGACATATACGTCCGACAGAGCTCCTTTCATCAAAATGGATGCTTCTTATTATGCTTCGTGTATATGCTAATTATAACCATTAAGATGCTGGTTTTATCCGTGTGATAAAATACATACCAATATTGCCGAACTATTTTAGCGTACGTTTTAATTTTTATGATTCCGTGAATTTGTAAATTAATTGGATTTTATGTTTTAAATGGCATTTTTTCTCGTTTCCCTTATGGTTATTTTCTTCAACATTATTAAAAGCTTCTCCGCAATCATGACTACATACTTGAACTTTTTGTTTGCATGCACACGGTTCACGTAGCCGTTAAATGTCTGACGACACCTTCTTTACGGGTGTTTCAATTGCTTTTTATGAATACTGAACTTTATAGATAAGAAAGATTATTTAATTTAAAAACAAACTGCTTTAAATATTTCAACAGATGCTTTTCCCCAACATTGGTAACATTAAAATGAATATTGTTCTGGGAGCACTTTCTTCAGCATTCCTACAG